CAAAAAAAAAAAAAAAAAAAACTGCTCCCTTCCCATACCTCTGTCCCCATCTCCCATTTATTTATTTCAAAATTATTTGGTCTAAAGACGATGGGCTGAGTGAGGGATACGCTATGTATATAGTTGTGGGGTAATTTTGGTTTTACGAGTTTAGGGTAAAAAAGATGTCTTTTTTAGCAACACAAGCTGGCAAAGCAGCAGAATTTTTTTACAGAGCTGGTAATTTTTTGTTGTTGCAGGTTGCAGTTGTGGGTATTGAGAGAAGTTGATATATTTTGTTGACTCTGCAGATAACCTTTTGTTCCTCTCAGTTAAAAACAACCCAAAGTTGAAATTTTTATCTTTTCCTGTTTTTACAGTGTTAGTATGAGTATGAATATTAACCCCAAGTGGGTTAATGAAGAACAGTTCAATAATTTAGTTGTTTGAAGGCATGGCAGCAACCGGGTATTGACTAAGGTTGTGAAAGGTATTAAAGGATAAAAAGTGGGAAGGGGTTGGAGGCTGGAGGTAGCTATCACTGTTACCATGCAAAGCTATCAGGCTTTGAAAAGAGAGATATTAAAAAGAAAGGAAACAATTGAAGTCCTTATGGAAAGAAAAGGTGATGGCGATGGATTGGAGGTTTTGAATGTGTAAGAAAAATCAAATGCCTAAAAAAGGGTCTGCCATCTCATTTTGAGTTCAAGACATCCTCTCACTTACTCCATTCTCTTCTCCTTCTCTCTCCTCCTCAATACAACCATAACCCTAATCAATAAAACATACAAACAAAGTAAGGGAAAGGGAGTTTGGTGGGTTGAGAAGATTTGTGTATGCTTAAACCCTACTTGTTGTTCTTCAACTTGTCAACTTCATGGCTTTTTCACCTGACCTAATTGACCACCCGAGGTCCCTGTTAGGAGATGTTGTTCGCTTTAGCATGTTACGTGAGGTTTCTACACTCTTATAAGGAAGACTTTGTTTTCCACCCCTTTGGGTCCCAGTGTTCTCACTAGTACGTTACTCGGTGTATCGCTTTAATACCATATGTAACAGCTCGAGGCTACCACTAAAAGATATTGCCTGTTTTGGCTTGTTATGTATTGTCATTAGCCTCACGGTTTTAAAATGCGTTTATTAGGGAGAGGTTTCTACACCCTTATAAGGAATGCTTTGTTTCCCTCCCCAATCGATATGAGATCTTACAATCCACCCCCTTGGGTCCTAGTGTTCCCACTGGTATGTTACCCGGTGTCTGGTTCTAATACCATTTGTAATAGCTCAAGGCCATCATTAGAAGATATTGTTTATTTTGACTCATTACGTATTAGGAAGAGGTTTCCATGCCCTTATAAGGAATGTTTTGTTCCCCTCTCTAATCGATGTGAGATCTTACAATCCACCTCCTTGGAACCCAGTGTACTCGCTCGCACATCGCTTAGTGTATAGCTCTGATACCATTTGTAACAGCTCAAGGCCGCCGCTAAGAGATATTGTCCGCTTTGACTCGTTACATATCTCCGTTAGTCTCACAGTTTTAAAACGCGTCTACTAGGGAGAGGTTTTCACACTCTTATAAGGAATGTTTCGTTACACTCTCCAATCAATGTGTGATCTCACACAAACCCTATTCTTACTCGCATGATTTCTAAGCACAAAATACTAGGATATTCTCTTGATACAGATGCGGTCATAGTTCATTACACATCTCTCATTTACTCGAACATCACAATTAAACAATACGAATGACTCGATAAACAACCCAACGGGGTTTATAAAGATAGGAAATGGAGAGGAGTAGGTGTTTTAATTTGATGATATGAACGTGGAGAGATTTGTTGGGGGAGAAGTGGGAAGGGATTTATTTGATGATGTTGGGAGCTTTAGTGAACAGTGGTGTGATAGTGACTCCATTATTATTATAAGCTAAGGCATACGGAGATGGAATTGGCATCTTCAGCCAGCTCTCTCTGTGGCTTCAGGACAACTTGACTGTGTTTCGTGGGACACCACCCCACAAAGATAGGTACGTTTTATCTCTCATCTTCCACTCTTCAATAAATTTATCCCTCCACTCTTTTTAATGCAAACCATATATTCATTCACAAATCACAATCACAACACCACTGCCCCTTAAACTCTTCCTTTTTTAACCTTTTCGAACTCGAACTCGAACCAAGACCGATCTGAATCGACCCGTTTACACCTCTAATTACGAAGACGAGCTTTATTCTGTGTTGTAGGAGATGGGTTGGACCCAATGAATTGGAGGGGATGTGAATTATACTGAATGTTTTTTGCTGTGTTCTCCACAGGAGAAACATTACAAATTGGAATCCAGTGTTAGGCCACTATCACTTGGAGAGCCCACCACATCAAACAGTAAACATTAATGATTAACACAAAAACCATAAGGGTTTTGAAAGGAGACCCCCCTTTACCCCCCACCTTCAAAATTCCTACTTTATTTGCACTACAAATTATTAAACCTAACTATTACGCTTACTCGAGTGTATATCCCAACATCTTAACTTCTTTGTTCGACACTTGAGAACTCGATTGACCTGTCTAAGTTAAAGATAAGAGCATGAATTTGATACCACTTATCGATTCTATTGTCATGGCTAAGTTCGATTCTATTGTCATGGCTAAGTTTAGGGCATGACTCTGATACCATGTTAGGAAGCACGACTCTCTACAATGGTATGATATTTGTCCACTTTGAGCATAAACTCTCATAGCTTTGCTTTGGGCTTCCCCAAAAGGCCTCATACCAATGAAGATGTATTCCTTTACTTATCAACCCATGATCATTCCCTAAATTAACCCATGCGGGATTCACTCCCAACAATCCTCAACAATATTGTCTTTTTTGGGTTTCTCTTTTCAAGCTTCGCGATTGCTAGGAAGAGTTTTTCGCACCCTTAAAAAGAATGTTTTATTCTCCTTCACTACCGACGTTGGATCTCACAATAAGCTTATGACTTTATTTTTGGAAAACTCATGGAGATGATGTCTCTTGATCTTCTCCTTAATTAGTGAGCGTGGGACTCCAACACAATTTTCTTAATATTTTCAAACGTCTATTAAAGTTTTGTTAAAATTCATATTAAATACATGTTTTAGAAACATGTGAAATTTGGATCTTTTAAGAAACAAAAAAACATAACAAATTTGTTACCTGATTAATAGGGTCTTAATGGACAGAAATTGAGATTCGAAACATATAGTCTCAAGTGGTTGATCATGTTATTGGATAAAGAGATCATTGGCCCAGATTTATAAACAACACAACATTCGGAGGATCTGGGCTAGCTACTGATGTCTGCCCCAACAAGACCAATATTATTCTCTACCTTAAAACAAGTATAAAACGAAAAAACAACAACACCTTCAACTAAAACTTAAACATGATTCAAATCATGATGCTCCTGAAAATGAGTGTTATTTTGAAATGATGTGATTGGAGAAGGATAAACATAAATTAAAATAGACAGACATTTCAAAATGTTACTCATTTGACCAAAATAATTCATAGTTTTCTACAAAAACATTTTTTTAAAAAAAAATAAATAAATCACAAAGTTGGCTAAGAGATTATGTAGCAAGTAAAATGCTAAAAATACTAATATAGCATTGACATAATAATTATAAAGTATAGTTTGAAATAAAAGTTGGCTGAATACACATTAGAATATAGTTTGGTTTACATTATAGTTTAGAGAAATGTGGATAACCCTAAGAAAGAAATGGGGAGTGAGAAAGATGAGAGGCACGACGGAGACTTGGGTGTGTGCGAGGGGCTGGGCATTTGATGACGCCAAAGTGCACGGCCATGCCATGGCGGGGCCGACATCCAGTTAGGGTCAACTTCTGATGCCGCCCTTGGAACTCGTCTCTTCCACTAAATAATACTTATAATCTTAAATACATTTTATTTTTATAAGGTTTGAACTAAATAATAATAATCTTAATGCCGCCCTCCAAAGTTCGTTTTTAGGGCTAAATTAATTAAATGTAACCGCGCCCATACGGGTTTGTTTCCCTCTCCAATCAGTGAAATCTCACAATCTACTCATTTTCGAGTCCAACGTTTTCGTTGGTACACTATTCAGTGTCTAGCTCCGATACCATTTATAACATCTAAGTCCACAGTTACTAGATATTGTCTGTTTTAATCCTGTATTATCGTTAGTCTCACGGTTTTAAAATGTGTCTACTAGGGAGAGGTTTCCACACCCTTGTAACAAGAAAGTTTTAATTTCCTTCTATAACCAAGGTGAGATCTCACAAAAAAAAATTTGTCTAAAAAAATATCATTAAACATTCAAAAGTTTCAATAATACCATTAAATTTGCTTTATTTAAAAAATACTCTTCAACTTTAAAAAGATTTATTAATATTTTTTGAAAAATTTAAAAATACCTTATTATTGGTATTATATTTAAAATATTTTTGAACACAGTTACTTTTCTAAAAAAAAGTTTTAAAAAAGTTCTTATGAAAATATATTGACGAAAATCATGGATCGATACCTTATATATTATTTGAAGAGCATGAATAATTTAATTCTATCGTATGTACACGTAAACTTAACCCTTATCTAATTACTTGTATATAAACTTAGGGATAAATTAAGATCACATCATAACCCAAAAACTAAAATTATAGTTTCTAAAACTTTATAGAAAAAAGCATTTGGTTGGATAAAATGAACATGATATCCTTGAGATAGACTTAGGGTACGTAGGTTATGTTGTAGAATTATGGTACAAGCATTGGAGTATCTGTGGCTGCACATATCACTTAGCCTTCCAGCATTTGAAAGGGCTAATAATGCACTTATGAAGGCCCTTTGCTTATTTTAGATAATAATATTGCTTCAAATAATTTCATATTTCTCTACGCACAAAACCCACCGACCTTTTATCATTTCAGGTCCTTCCAAAACTATATAATATATTCCTATTATATTTAATTATATTAGCGTTTAAATATTATTTTAGTTTTCATACGTAAAACGCGTCAAATGAAAATAAAGTAATACTTAAACTTAAAATTAAAGGACTTTTGTGGTTGGTCATGATCACTATGAGTCGGACTCAATAGAATTTGATCAATTATTCTTTTCTGTCAATAAGATGGAGAATTGAACCAAGAATTCTTTTTCTTTATCATCAATTGAATCATTGTTCGAGACCCAGGATTCTATTTTATCATCAATCCAATCATCGTTTCCATTTTTTTATTTTTCTTATCAATGAATATATCTCTTTACTTGTATGACTTAGACGTCTCGTATTTTTTTAAAAAGCGATTCGATTGATGGGATTGAGATTGATATTCCAATTTTTCTTCTTCAAACATATTGATTTGGAGGATGGGTATTTTTTTCATAAGGGACGGTCCCCTTCTGGGCCTCATGGAGAAAGGTAAAATAAGAGGCTTTGGCTCGGATAAGGATCAACCTGAAAGCGGTTGTCAAGTCCCTTTGTGCCACCTTAGATACGAAAGGAGGAGGACCCATTGAAGAAAAAAGGGAGTCTAGAATCTTCCTTTTGAGTTTTCATTTTTAGATCCTTTCAAGACAATAGGAGAAGCTTGGTTGAGGAGGGCTCGTATCTGATCAATAGCTTGTTTGAGAGGATGATCAACCACACTGAAACTGTGCACGGTTCAAACTCATATGAAGGGCAACAGAGGAGAGTTTTTCACAACGGGTGAAAGTCTAATAGTCTAACAAAGCTACGTGGAGTAGAAGACTTATGAGTCGTGAACTTTGTTGATCGTGAACTTTGTTGATCGTGAACTTTCTTCATCGTGAACTTTCTTCATGGTTGGTGACGTAATTTTTGGAGTGGGGCCTTTCTCAATGTCGGCCAAGCAAATTTTGGGCTAAAGAATTCCAGCCTTGTTGTGCGAAGCTGATTTGTCATATTCTTCATTAAAAAAAAGAGAGAGCTTGGAATGACTCCTTGACGTCGGGTCTAATGTTTTACACAAAAACCAACCCAATATCTAGTCAGCTTATTCTCACGTCAGCCTTTAAAATAATCACCCAAAATTCGAGCCGCTGCTTCTATTTCTCAAGTAGCTGCACGATGTCATGAAAGGCTACCTTTGTGGAGCATAAATAAGAGCCACCCAGCTGCTCTTTTCACAATTTGAACCTTGCATGCCTGTGAGACATGGAAGTTAAGAAGCAAATATGGGGTGTGGTTCCATTTTTGGCGATGGTGAGCTTGGAAGGCTGCACCATTGCATTAACCATAATGGCCAAAACAGCCATTACTTATGGAATGACCACTTTTGTATTTGTTGTGTACACAAACGCCGTTGCTTCCATTGTTCTTCTTCCTTATTCCTTCATCTTTCACTACAATGAGAGGTTCCAATCCCATTTCAACTCCTTGGTTTACTTGATTAAGCAACGCCACTCTTAAAGTTCTTAACTTTAATTTGTTGGTTGGTTCTTGCAGGACGGAGTTTCAACAATCTTTGTTCTCCTTTCCTCTTTTCCTCCGAGTCTTTCTCTTGGGTTTGATAGGGTTTGTCCTCTCTCTCGCCTATAATTCACCTATGTTTTCATACCATTATATATTGAAGTCATTATATTGTGTGTAGGATATGTGTATCTCAGAACCTAGCATTTTTGGGACTAAGCTACAGCTCTCCTATTGTTGTGTGTGCAATGGGTCTTATGCTTCCGGCCATTTCCTTCGTACTTTCGATCCTTCTCGGGTAATCTTTTGAAATATATATGTAAGATTTTACGTTCGTTGGATAGGGGAACGAAACATTCCTTGTGAGGGTGTGGAAACCTCTTTCTAACGGATGAGTTTTAAAACCTTGAGGGAAGCCCAAAAGAAACAATATCTAGTAGCGGTGAGCTTGAGCTGTTACAAATGGTATCAGAGACAGACACCAGACGGTGTGTTAGCGAGGACGTTGGTTCACAAGGAGGGTGGATTGTGAGATCCCACATTGATTGAAGAGGAGAACGAAACATTCTTTATAAGGGTGTGGAAATCTCTCTCTAACGGATCTGTTTTAAAACCTTGAGGGAAAACTCGAAAAGGAAAGTCCAAAGAGGACAATAGGGCTTGGACTGTTATAAATGATATTAGAGCTAGACACCGGGCGGTGTGCCGATGAGGACGCTGGGCCTACAAGGGAGGTGGATTGTGAGATCCCACGTAGATTGAAGAGGAGAACGAAACATTGTTTATAAGGGTGTGGAAACCTCCTTCTAACGGATACGTTTTAAAACCTTGAGGAAAAGCCTAAAAAAGAAAGTCCAAAGAGAACAATAGGGCTTGGACCGTTACAAATGATATTTGAGCTAAATACCGGGCGGTGTGCTAATGAGAACATTGAGCCTACAAGGGGGGTGGATTGTGAGATCCCACATCAATTAGAGAGGGAAACAAAAAATTTCTTGTGTGGAAACGTCTCCCTAACAGACGCGTTCCCTAACAAACACGTTTTAAAGTCTTGGATATTGTGCTTGTTATTATATGGACTAATATGGTTTGAGATGATTCAGGAGGACAAAAATTAACTGGAAAAGCCCCAGCTTCATTACCAAAGTGGTAGGGACAATGATATCAGTTATAGGAGCAACATCAGAGGAGCTTTACATAGGCCCAGCAGTGCGTCAACATCCATCTTCCTCTTCACATTTACAATTCAAACACAAGCTTCTAGTCTTCACCTCCACAACAGATCGCTGGATCATGGGTGGCCTTTTACTAGCAGCTGCTTCCTTATGCGTCTCAATATGGAACATCCTTCAGGTTCATACGAACAACATTACACAATCCCATGATGTTTTTTTTGCATTAAACTTGACACCCTTTTGTGTTCTCCTCCTTTCGGTCAGCTGGGAGTAATAAAACAATACCCTCAAGTCATGAAAGTTGCCTCCTTTTATAGTTTGGTGGGCACCTTACTCTCTGCAGCAGTGGGCTTTTTTGTAGTCAACGATTCAAGCGCATGGACAATCAAATCCAGCTTCGACCTCTTTCTCATTATTGCAACAGTAAGCAACACATAATTAGCTGAATAGAGTTGTTGTTATAGACTGTTTCTGAATGAAAAAGATGAACTTTGTAGGGAATTTTTAGCAGTTTGATTCGAAACCGAGTGCAAATATGGTGCATGCAAATGAAAGGGCCATATTACGTGCCCATGTTCAAGCCTTTTGGCATTCTTTTTGCTACCTTCTTTGGCGTCACCTTCTTTGGAGACACTTTTCACTACGGAAGGTACTAACCTTTTTACTCTGCCCACGGCTAGTAAATATTGTATTCTTTTGAGCTTTACTTTAAAGCTTTAAAATACGTCTACTGTGAAAAGATTTCCACACTTTTATAAATGGTGTTTCATTCTCCTCCCAACGAACGAATTTTATAATTAGATTAACCTTTTTAAGCGGGAATGATGGGCAGTGTGATGGCAGCATTTATAGCTGGAATGGGATATTTGACAGTAATGTGGGGGCAAATCAACGAAGATAATGGAGTGGGTGAAGACAAAGATGACAAGAATAATGATCATTTGTCTTCTGCCAAACTTCCACTTCTGGACGAAGAATCAAAAGTGTAACAACATATATATATATATATATATATATATAAAAAGATGATCAGGAACAGTTATTTTGAATGAAATTCTGATCAGAAGAACCCTATCGCTTTCTTAGAATCTCAGGGTTGAAAGCAAATGTAGATATATTATTGTTATTGTGCCGTGTTAAATGGGATCCTTATGTTTTGAATGTGATGTTATTGCTACAATAATTTTGGACTATGATGTCTTTTTCGTAATGTTATTGAATTCATACTAAATCGTTATCTTTCTAAATGTCACGGTAGGGTGGTAGGGTACAATGACGATTGTGCAACGATGACAATTCAAAATTACTATTAATGTTATTTTATATTATTATGATGACAACTCTAAACTAACATCGTTTTTTAATTCCACGTGTAATAAACTTTATTTTTTAGTTTAGTATTATAGCTGAGTTATGCTCATGTTCAAATTAGAAAACGAGATGTCATCAAAGTTCCATATTAATGTCATGTGAGATCCCTTGTCGATGGAAGAGGAGAAGAACGAAGCATTTCTAATAAGAGTAGAGTGTAAAAATCTCTTTTAGTAGTCTTGTTTTAAAATCATGGGACTGGCGACGATACATAACGAGCCAAAGTGGACAATATCTACCGACGGTGGGCTTGAGTTGTTACAAATGGTATCAAACCCAAACACTATGCAGTGTGCTATGAGAACACTGGACCCTTGTGAGATCCCACATCTATTGGAGAGGGGAAGAACGAAATATTTCTTATCCCAAAGCGGAATTGACCGAGGGTAGTTGGTCGAAGCTCCAGTAGGTAGCCACTCCCTTCTCAGGGAACCGTAGGTGAGACTTCCGCATCATACGGCTCCGTCCCGAGCTTCCTCGGCTCTTGTCATTAGATTGTAGAAACCTCTCTCTAGTAGACGCGTATTAAAACCGTGAGACTAATAACGATACATAACGAGCCAAAGCGGACAATATCTACTCGCAGTGGATTTGAACTCTTACAAATGGATATTAGAGCTGGACATCAAGCGGTGTGCCAGCGAGGATACTAGGTCCTCAAGGGGGTGGGGATTGTGAGATCCCACATTGGTTCGAAATGAGAAGAAACATTTTTTATAAGGGCGTAGAAACCTCTCCCTAATAGACACGTTTTAAAATTATGAGACTGACGACGATACGTAACGAATTAATAGACAATATCTGCTAGTAGCACCCATAACAACAGCCAGCAACAGCAACAGGTGACAGGCTTCATACTTCACTGGTTCCTTATAAATAACCTTCCATACATCTCACCACAACCATCTCAAAGACATCAACCGCAAGCTACTCCATTAGCCGCTGGCTGTACTCATAAACCAATTCATTTGATTTGATTGTGTGAGACAAGGTTCTGGGGGATTTATAATTGGACGAGGCAGCAGAATGGTTTAGAGCTCAATCGAAAGCGTGCTTGCTGTCGGGTCAACGGTAGACGACAACGAGGATGTCTCAGCCACCAAGAATTTGACCATTGGAAAGATCCTGCACAAAACAAACAGAAAGAGTGAAACTCAAAGAATTTGATCATTGGAAGAATTTTTTCAGAAAAGAACCAATATTAAGAACTTCCAAACCTGCACTTACCCACGTTTGCTGCATAATTTAACACGATTAGAACGGGGGAAGGTTCGTCTTCTTCGTCGCCTCTCCTGCATAAAAGCTTTGCTGCATAGCATATCTCTCCTGAGTAAGCAACATAGCACATATACTTTTTCCTGTAGGATCTAATTCAGCTCCCAATCCGGCTCATGATCATCATGAATGATCTTTCCACCGGCTGCTGTAAGTGCATCTACAAGATTCTTTATCTATATAAAATATCATCTAAATCTTCACTGTCGTTACTTCATTTCCCGGATTAACGACTTCCAGCATCTGATAAGAGACTACAGAATCGGATGAACCTTTGTCAGCGGTGGACGAGTCCATGACTTCGTGAACGAATTGCTGATACCACTTTAAGATTACAGGAATAAAGTTCTTGATCATAAAGTAATCTTTTTCTCAGTAATCAGTGATCAAAGCAGAGAGTAACAGCTCAAACCCAAATCCACCGCTAGCAAATATGTCCACTTTAGCCAGTTATGAATCACCGTCAGTCTCACAATTTTAAAATGCGTCTACAATGGAGAGGGTCTAGCCTTACTCCGACCAATGCCTCACACCGTTAGGTGACTAGCTTTGATACAATTTGTAACAGCCCAAGCCCAAGCCCACCTCTAACAAATATTGTCTACTTTGGCCCATTACATATCGCCGTCAGCCTTACGGTTTTGAAATGCGTCTGCTACGGAGAGGTTTCCACACCCTTATAAGGAATGCTTCGTTCTCCTCTCCAACCAATGTGTGACTTCTTGACAGCTACTTAGAGTTACAGTGTCTCGTTAGATAGTTTTAACTTTCTTCAGCAACCATCCAATAACATAAAGATCTAAACCAAACATAATGATGGAAACGATTGAATTCCAACTTGAACAACTATATTTTCTTGACAAAAGATAATCAAGAAAGAAGTTACAGTATGTTAAGGATATTTAGTAATAAATTATAGTTTACCATATATATTATATTTGATATTTTATTATAAGGCAAATATCTAACATTTGCCTTATTACTATAGGTATCTTTCCATTTATTGTTATTTCCATTTATTACTATTTCCATATTCTTGTAATTTATTTGATTATAAATAAGATAACTTTCACACCATTTAGGTGTGGTGGATTAATCAAACATTCACATGGTATCAGAGCCATTTTGGTTTAGCAACCCGGATTCTTTCTTTTCAATGGCTTTTGAAATCTTCTACTGTTCTTCTCCACCACCACTGTTGGCTTTGACGCCGCAGGGGCAGTCGTCATGGCTGCCACATGCAGGGCCGATTGATTATTCTTCGGCTCCACCCTTTTGACCTCCAAATCATCCTTCACCATACTCTGTACATACAACCTCACCTTTTCCAAACATAGCCTCTTTCATTTTCTTCCCAATTTTCCCTTCATCCTTCATCCTTCATCCTTCATCCTTCACAAAAACCCTAATCTTAGGATCTTCATCAGCATTCCTTTTCGAAAATATACAGAATCTCAATAAGCCCATCGACCTTCTGCAGAGATTTACCTTTGGAATCTGGGCGCCGCACTGGCATCTTCGCCAACCAAGTTGCCGCCGCCCTTCTCGCCAAAATTGGCTCCTTCGCCCCAATGTGGCGACTCTTCTAGCTGCCCTTCTCGCCAAAATTGGCTCATTCGCCCAATGTGGCGACTCTTCCGGCTTCAACATTGTCTTTGTCCCTTGCTCTAGGTTTCCCCTGCTACTTCTTGGGGTTAGACATATTCTCACCAGAGCCAAGTCAGCATCGTCGCTAAGCGACAATCCCTCTTCATGGGTTAGACATATTCTCACCGAAGCCAAGGCAGCATCGCCGCTGAGCGGCGACCTCTCTGCAGTTTTCGATGGCCAAGAAAGTGTTTCTCTACGCCTCCTCTGAACCAGGTTGTTAACATCTTCACGAAAAGTGTTTCTCAACCTCTTTGAATTTTTCAGATTCAAGCTTCACGTTCGTTTAAATCCGACGCTTAGCTTGCGGTGGGGTGTTAAGGATATTTAGTAATAAATTATAGTTTACCATATATATTATATTTGATATTTTATTATAAGGCAAATATCTAACATTTGCCTTATTACTATAGGTATCTTTCCATTTATTGTTATTTCCATTTATTACTATTTCCATATTCTTGTAATTTATTTGATTATAAATAAGATAACTTTCACACCATTTAGGTGTGGTGGATTAATCAAACATTCACACAGTATCTAATCTACAAATATGTACAGAGTAATTTAGTTGCAAACCTTAGCTTTACGGAGGAAAAAGGAAAATATGTTATTCACCTCAGCAGAACGTGGAACAATTTGTCTATGCAAATAGCAAATTCATTCCTCAACAGAAAATGGTGCATCTGACTCAGGACTGCGCATGGTGATGGCAGGAAGCTCCTTGCACATCAAGTGCTTGCGCCTCTGCAGCATCAACAAGCTTATTATGGTATCCGTCTGCACAACGGTGTAGCCAGCTTTTGTATACATATTGAAAGGAGCTGTGTCAATCATTCTACAATGCAGGAACACCTCCCTTGAGGTACTCATTTGTGAGATCAATTCCTCACCAGCCTTCAAAAGATGCCACCCAATACCCCTCCTGAAAGTTCCACAATTTCACCTAATATGAGTCTATTATACTTGATGCAATCTCAGGGACAAACCCAGTTCAGAATGGTGAGGATTATAGCAAGCTAAGCCTTAACAATTATAGCCAGTTGAACATGAACAAATGGTTGCAGACATAATTGTGAAGTAAACATACCTCCGAAGCTCCTTTTTAACAGTCATGTTGCATATGTAAGGCGAATCCTTGGGAGGTGTAGGAGTGGGGGGAGATGCATTGGCACCTCGCTTGTCAAAGGACACCTCCACTGTGCCGGCCAGCTCTTCAGCCTCCTCTTCTTCCCCATTTTTGCCTTTATAAAACCCAATAAGTGTAGCGGCATGGGGCATCAAGGCCCTTCGTTCAATCAAATACTGTTTCACCAAAAATCTCAGCAAAGAAATATAGCCAGAAGGCCAGAACATGGACTCCGCAAATGACTCCGCTAGCAACCCAACAGTGGCATCAAGTTCACAATCCCTCATAACCCGAACCCACATCGACCCAGATTCCAATTCCTGGAAATACTCAAAATCCCCAAGAAACTTGAGCCTCTCGTACTCATCGTCGGTCAGAAATCGACCAGTCCGAAGTGGGTCTTCGAGAAGCGAAGAATCCAATGTCGTGGGCGATGAACGAAGGGGAGCGGATGAGGTTTTGAAGAACTGATTCTGAGTTTTGAGCAAAAGGGGAAATGGGTACGAAGAAATGGGCAGAGCGGGAAAAGATCGATGGTGTATGAAGTGGCGCGGAAGAAGGCGATGGCGGTGTAGATCCAAAGGGAACGAGAAGGAGGAGGCTATGGCCATAGAATGCAGAGCTCGCTAATTTCAGGGGAATCGATAAGATTCGATTGTATTGTCATCGCGGATTATTAATTAAACATCGATTCGTGGAATAATGCTAATCAAGTCAAAAACACTAAAATTCATGGACCATAAAACACAAAAAAACTTAATATCATAAGGTTTTTCCCGGAAATTTCTGCTGGGTTTCTCTAAATTTCGAACGTTAATTTTTATATCACGCAAGTATTTCTAGGGATCAATTGAAGATTGTCATTAAGAATGATGATGTAAAAATAAAGTTATTAAATTTTTTAAAATTTTAACAAAAATAAATAATCGTTATTAAAATTTTGAAAATTTAGATATTATAATAATTTCAACTTTTATAACAAATATTAGTAAAAATTAGAGTTAAATTTATAGATTAGGTAAACAAATATATAAAATAAATTTAAAAATTGAATTAAAATAAATATAATATTTAATTAAACTGACTTGATTTTAAAAAGAGAAAAAAATATATATAATAAACAAATTTAAATTAGAAAAAAAAGGGGGAAAATAAAAATGTATTTATATATTTAAACACGTGATTAATAATTAGATAAGTAGAGTTATTTTATATTAGTGTTTTGAAATAAAATAGTGTAAAGAAAAGCCCTAATTGAGATGAAGATTGGAGAATTCAGTCTTACCCAACTCCTTTAGGAGGAGGAAGAGCTGTTCAATTTTTGTAGAAGAGGAAGGAGAAAATGGCTCTGGACAGCGGCAATGGGGATGACTTCTCTGTTGGGTCATTCTTCTCAATCAAGACGACCTTAGGGGATGAATTTCAAGCACAAGTCATTACCTTTGACCGCCCCTCCAACATCCTCGTCCTTCATATCCTTTCTGGGTTTCTAGCTTTTTGTGTTTATCAATCTGGGTTCTTGAATTCCTTAACTTCGTTTCTGTTCTCTTCGTCTTGGATTGACACAGGAAGGTTCGAAACCAGGACCTCGTAGGAACATAAGGCTGCTGAAAGCCAATTATATAAAAGAATTTTCGTTTTTGGGACATGGGGAAGATCCTCTTGATCTCAAAAACTGTTACCTTGATCTCAATACTCTCCGTGCTAGAGAGGAACTCGCCATTAGGTACCTCAATAATCTGTTCTAAATTTTTGTGGGTTTTCGTTGCTTAATCGTGATTTTAGTTGTTTCTGTTCAATTACATGTTCTGTTTCTCCTTTGGTCGTACTGGGTTTTGCAGGCAAGCAGAAATAGAGGCGGAGAGAATAGGAGTGGGTGTGACTAGCGAGGCGCAAAGTATTTTTGACGCCTTGTCTAAAACGTAAGTTTAGTTGTACTTTGTTGGTAGGAATATTTGGAAAGTGTAATTCGATTTATTTGAATCACGAAGATTTATTTTCTACTATTTTTAGTCCATGTCCATGCATTTATGTAACATGTGGCAATTTTATCAGTTTCTTTGTCATGCAAAATTTTCCTATTGGTTTCACATTAAGAGAATCATTGAATGCTCTTATATGTTTCTTTATGTGCGTTGGGTTGGCAAACTTGTTTACGGGTCATTGCAAGCGGGCATTGGTTACAATGGAACGGAATCCCACTCCCTGCAGCTCTTCTCTTGAAGTTCTTTTAAAAGCTTATGTTACAATGGAATGGAAAATATTTTGATTGTTGTGATGGGTAATTGGATCATGGAACCAATATTTCTCATGAGTTTATGGCACTTTTATGGACGTTGTTAAGGTATTGATGATAACTAGGAAGTCTGATAATGGTCTGCTTGATGTTTTAATATCTTTGGTTACTTATCATGTTAGATCCCACATGGTTTATCGAGAGGAATGAGTGCCAGCGAGGATGCTGGTCTCGAAGGGGGTGGATTGTGAGATCCCACGTCGATTGGAAAGAGGAAGGAGTGCCGGCGAGGACGCTGGGCTCTTAAGGGGGGTGGATTGTGAGATCCCACATCGGTTGGATAGGAGAATGAAACATTTTTTATAAGGATGTGGAAACCTCTTCCTAGTAGTCGTGTTTTAAAAACCTTGAGGGGAAGCCCGAAAGGGAAAGCCCAAAGAGGACAATATCTACTAGTGGTGGGCTTGGGCTTGGGCGGTTACATATCATTTGTCTTCAAAAGACCACGGTGCATTATTTCCTATAGTGTGCACAATGGACGAGATGGAATTGATTCATTCTCTTAGGAGCGTTGAAATATGAATATCATTGTCCAAGTCGGTCGGCATAGTACTCTTTTCTCTCTGAACATTTGCCTCAGTATTTCTGGGGTAATGGAAAACAAAGAAATCATGTTATAACTCTTAAGAAGTCTTTGAATGATATAACATTAAGGCTTTACTTTTTTCCCTAAACTATGTATGGTAGTTCTTACATCTTTTGGTTTCTATGATATTGTTCTTGGTCCGAACTTTTTGAATGCCGTGATAGTTGTATCCTAGCACCACTAGAGTAGTTTTACATATAATTACTTTCCAACATTTATGGAACTTATTTACTTTTGTCATTCCCAATGCCAAAGTCATAGTTGGTATTATTGTGATGCAAGTTCCTTGATTTGAAGTTGGAATGACTATGATAGTTTAAGTTCAATTAGGTATTTTAATAACTTAATTTTTCAGCCCTGCCTGGTCTTTTTCTCCTGTTATGGAGTCTAAATTAGAGAATGGTTTGGGCACCTGGTGGGGTTGCAAACCCAAGTAAGCTCATCTGATGATCTAATTTTGTGAGGCATGTTCATACAGAATTTCAGATACTACCGAAACGAATCGTGATAGGCTTTAATCTTCACAAACTTTCTATAGTATTGATTATTTTCTCTTGCTGTTTCAGCTGTATAATTTTTCTACTTCGTAGACTCTGCACTATTGTTTTGATATTCTGACTAAGGCGATCAGTGCAATCCTAGGCTTCCTGTTCGCTGGGACAAGACTGTGATAGTTGTAATGAATGAAGTACGTGTTAGCAGTCCCTATCTACCAGAATCTGTTTCTGGAGGCACCCCTGCTGCCAATGAGCGGGTGAAGAAAGTGGTAAGCATCTATTAGTAATGTTCTTAACCATGGATATTACTAGCTTTTCACTTCTTTCCTTGCAATGCCTTGCACAAACCTCTTTACCTATACATTCTTTTGTTCTCTCAAAGCTTGAACTGGAGAGGAAGCGGTTACAAGTTCGCGGAGGTGGGGGTCAGTGATGGTTATTCATCCTCATCCTTCTTTTCTGGGTGATAGGCGATTACCGGTACTGTACCGAGCCTTTTGCTAATGGGGGGAAGGTACAATCTCTTTTAGAGGCATCTCCATGTCAGCAATCATGAAGGGATTTAGTGTTTGAGTGGTACCTAATCTGTTGCCAAAGTTTTTATGTTTACTGCACTTCTGGTGGTCGATTTTTTCCTGTTTATGGACTGCACTGGACACACCCTGGCAAAGCTTTTTGGGTGTCCATGTTTAAGGTTTCCAAGATTTGATCTGTTGCAATCTATCAAATTTGAAATGAGCAAAGTCAGATGTAATAACTGCCCACCTTTTATTCAACCATAATGTCTCACCTCTCAATTTTTTTGTGTTTACTATCAAACATCATGAACACGTGTTTGACATAATTGATGCGCTGGGCGTCTAATCATTTGAGGCTTAAGATCATCTCTATATTTGTTATCTGCTGCTCCTCTTTCATTCTCATTAGTTAGAGTAGAGAATATTTTGTGAAATTACATTTTTCAGATGGAAGCTTCAACAGGGTACTTGGTATGGCGCCAAAAGAACGCTGAATTTTCCTTTTTCATACCCTTTCTTTCCCCCTTTTTTATGATGTCCTTTACTTTTACTAATGGCCCCGTTATAGTTTGCTTCTTTATTCCTCTTTTGAATTTGGTAAGCTAATTCTTAAGCCTTACGCTGTGATATTTGGAAATGGAAAGAAAGGTTTTTGGGCCATCTGGTTCAGGGAATAAAATGATATCATTTTATCTGCCCTTTCCCCCCTCAAGGACGGCCGACTTTGAAGGCATTCAAAGAAAAGACCTCTTAACATTGATTTGTAGGCACTCATTAACATTGATTCTTCTTTAATGGAATCGTATTCTTTTTAAGTTGACACCACTGACCAAAATAAGGAATTTGATACTGATCCTTTCGAGTCATTAGCAGAATTTTATGTCAGGATCGAACAAATTACTTACAAAACAATAATAAACCAATCTAAATTAGGATGCAATATGTGAGATCTCACATTGGTTTGGGAGGAAAACGAAGCATTCTTTATGATGCATTTTAAAAACCTTGAGGGGAAGTTTGAAAGAGAAAACCCAAAAAGGACTATCTCGATAGGTTTGGGCCCGTTATACAATCTCACTCAATTCATCTAGTTTCCAGAGAACCTTCTCTTGGAGGGTGTGTTACTGCCAAATTTTACACATGGGTTTGAATTTTTGTTATATTATGAATTGTTGTAATTGGTGAATGCAAACCAGAATCCTCGCTGGCCTGCTGCAATCTCAGTCGCTGAAACAAATCTCCAGGCAAGAGGGCCTGTCTGCATTTGACAATACATGGCAAGAGGGTAAAGTCTCAAGAGCCATTTTCATAACGCATGTAAGCTTATTTTCTGTGAGACTTGAAGCATCAGAAACTTGATACTTTGGGATGTTTTTTCTTCTTTTGGTATGATAAACAAGAAAAGATCAGAGCTGAATGATCTGAACTACTAAGAAGTTGTTTTTTCTTTAGCAAGTAGAGGGTAATTGCTTAAACTAAGTGCATAGATTCGCAGAGTAGATGGTGGGGAAAGCTTTTAATACAAGACTTCATCTTTATTAACGAACTAGGATGCTTTTTTGGCTTTAGGTGCGTGATGGTTTCTTTCTTACTTCAAGAGAGGTATCACTCTTTTTGCTTCTTTTCACATCTCTAATTCACCTTTATGTTTCCATGTCCTACAAACCCAAGTGAGTTTTGAGCTGTAAAAACTCATTTTTCCATGTTCACACTCCCAAGTTTCTTCCAAGTTCTTTCACTCCAATGCTTGCCTTCTGAAACTTTGGCTCCTGTTTGATTTTGGTGTTCTATTTCTTGGTTTTCGTGTGGGATAAAGACATAACTTTGATCTGGAAGTTTGACTTGTTGGTATTAAGCCTC